TACGGTGTATTGAAAGCTTTGTCCAACATGTATGAGAAACCATTTGCTTCAAACAAGGTGTTTCTCATCTGACAATTGGTTAACACCAAGATGAAGGAGGTATGTCAGTTACCACTCACATAAACGAGTTCAACTCGATTATCTCTTGTTTAAACTTTGTTGAAATAAAGTTTGAAGATGAAGTACAAGATCTTCTCTTTTTATCATCCTTGCCTGACAGTTGGTCAGGCACAGTCACAACTGTTAGTAGTGCATCTTGTACTACTAAGCTAACGTTTGATAGCATTCGTGACTTGATTTTAAATGGAGACATTAGAAGACAAAGTAATGGAGAATCTTCCGGTTCTAGTTCTCTATTAAATACATAAAGTAAAGGAAGAAGGAACGATAGAGGAAAAAATCGAGGCAAATCAAAATCTTGAAAAAGGGGGCAGTCCAAGAACCGAAAGGATATTGAATGTTGGAACTGCAAAGAAAAAGGTCACTTTAGAAACCAATGCCCAAAACCTCAAGCTGCAAAGAAAGAAAAACAATGTATCCTCTGAAGAATCGGGAGATTTTATCATATGTTGTGTTGAGAATTCAGTGGAATCCTGGATCATGGATTCGGGTGCTTCTTTCCATGCCGTCTCATGCCCAGATATGGTCAAGAATCTACAAACAGGTAATCTTGGCAATGTTCGTTTGGCTGATGATCAAGTACTTGATATTACAGGTATTGGAGACGTAGATTTGAAGACCTGGACATTGAAAGATGTCAGGGTTATCCCAAACTTAAGAAGAAAGTTGAATTCATTTGGTAAGTTGGATGATGAAGGGCTTAATGTTCATTTTGGGGGTGGACAATGGAAAGTGATCAAAGGAAACTTGGTGATTGCCAAAGGAAAGAAGAAAGGCACTCTATACATGGTAGAGATACCCGATGATGGTGTTAATGCTGTAACCACCAATCCAAGTCCATCTAATTTATGGCACCAACAACTCAGACACATGAGCGATAAGGGACTAAAGATGTTGGCTCAGAAAGGGAAGTTTCCAGACATGAAGAAAGTTGAAACTAAATCTTGTGAATCTTGTGTTCTTGGGAAACAGAAGCGGGTTACTTTTGTAAAGACGGGGAAGATACCGAAAGCTCAAAAGTTGGAGCTTGTTCACTCGGATGTATTCGGACCAACACTAGTTTCATCTTTAGGAGGTAAAAACTACTATGTAACCTTCATCGATGATTCAACACGCAAGGTATGGGTCTATTTTCTTAAAAATAAATCCGATGTATTTGATATGGAAATCTACTATTGAAAATGAAACTAATTTGAAGGTAAAGTGTCTGAAGTCAGATAATGGTGGTGAATACATAAGCAAGGAGTTTGTTGACTATTGTGCCAAGCAAGGGATAAAGATAATTAAGACGGTCCCAGGAACCCCTCAACAGAACGGTGTAGCAGAGAGAATGAATAGAACTCTAAACAAAAGGGCTAGAAGCATGAGGTTGAATGCTGGTATACCCAAGACATTCTGGGCCGATGCAGTTAACACTGCAGCCTACTTGATCAACTGTTCACCGTGTGTTCCCTTGGATTTTAAATTACCAGAAGAAATGTGGCAAGGGAAGGAAGTAAGTCTCAAACATCTGAAAGTTTTTGGTTGTAGTGCTTACAGTTTGTTAAAAGATGGTGATAGGGATAAGCTTGATTCAAAGACCAAGAAGTGTACATTCATTGGTTACGGGTTAGACGAAATGGGTTACAGGCTTTGGGATAGTGAAACCAGAAAGTTAATCCAAAGCAAAAATGTCACCTTTAACGAAACTGAGTTATACAAAGACAGAAGCAACAAAAATACAGAAGTTAAGAAAGAATATGTTAAGTTTGAAGGTAATGAAAAGAAGAAAGAAGATTCAGTAGAAATCCCTAATTTTAGGGATGATTCAACTGACAGTAGGAGCTCAGGGGATAATTCAAGTAATGACTCTGAAGATGAAGAAATCAGTCCTCCAACTCTAGAATCCTCACACACACCTCAAGATCAACCAAGAAGATCTTCCAGAGTCACCAGACCACCAGAAAGATACTCACCATATGTCAACTACATTCTCTTGACAGAAAATGGTGAACCCGAGTGTTACTTTGAAGCTTTGGGGTTGAAAGACTCATTACAGTGGGAGCTTGCAATGAAAGATGAAATGAAGTCGCTAGAGGAAAACAAGACATGGCTTCTAACAAAGCCTCGATTTGGGAAGGAGGCTCTTCAGAATAAATGGGTTTTCAGGGTCAAGGATGAACATGATGGTACTAAATGGTACAAAGCCAGATTAGTAGTCAAGGGGTTTCAACAGAAAGAGGGAATTGATTTCTATGAAATTTTATCTCCAGTTGTGAAGATGACTACCATCCGACTTGTTCTCAGTATTGTAGCAGCAGAAGGCTTGCATTTAGTTCAGTTAGATGTCAAGACAGCTTTTCTACATGGTGACCTAGATGAAGACATTTACATGACACAACTAGAGGGTTTTAAGGCTAAATGCAAAGAAAACTTGGTGTGTAAACTGAAGAAGAGTTTGTATGGTCTGAAACAAGCACCTAGACAATGGTACTTAAAGTTTGATAAGTTTATGGGTAGGATTGGTTACAAAAGATGTGACAATGACGATTGCTGTTACATCAAGAAGTTTAAGGGTTCTTATATCATTCTACTACTCTATGTGGATGATATGTTGATTGTCGGCTCAGAAATGTCAGAGATCAAGAAGTTAAAGAGGCAAATGTTTGAAGAGTTCGAAATGAAAGACTTAGGAGCTGCAAACCAAATACTTGAGATGAGTATTCTCATAAACAAAGATGGTTCTTTGACACTATCTCAAGAGAAATACATTGGGAAAGTGTTATAGAAATTCAGCCTTCAAGATGCCAAGATCCGAAGCACACCTTTGGGAAGTCACTTTAAGCTTTCAAAAGTTCAATCACCCAAATCAGATAAAGACAAGAAGGAAAGGGCTAAAGTTCCTTATGCATCTGTAATTGGTAGCATCATGTATGTAATTGGTATGCACGAGACCAGACATAGCTCATGCTGTGGGGGTTGTTAGTCGTTTTATGTCAAATCCAGGAAAAGAACATTAGGAAGCAGTTAAATGGCTGTTAAGATACTTAAAGGGAACTTCAAAGATGGCATTGCATTTTAAGGGGAAAGAAGTCATTCTAAGGGGTTATGCAGATGTAGACCTTGGTGGTTGTAAAGACTCATACAAAAGCACCACAGGGTATGTCTTCACAGTGGGAGGCACTGCAGTGAGTTGGATGTCTAAACTCCAGAAAATTGTTGCTCTTTTAACCACAGAAGCAGAATATATGGTAGTTGCTGAAGCAAGCAAAGAGCTTATATGGTTGAAGAACTTTCTCGAAGAGCTTGGCAGGGAACAAGTTAATTGTGTACTGTTTTGTGATAATCAAAGTGCAATAAACCTTGCAAAGAATCCTGTCTTCCATTCGAAGACAAAGCACATACAGTTGAGATATCACTTCATCAGAGAAAGAATTAATGATGACACTCTAAAATTGAAAAAGATTAAAGGAAATGAAAATCCAGCTAATATGTTGACTAAGGTTGTTACCTTAGAGAAGTTGAAGCTTTGCATAGCTTCAACTGGTCTTCAGGTCAATTGAAGAGAAGGACATGGTAACTAGGAAGCAGCTAAGATCAAAGGTGTTTACAGAAATACAGATACACAGTTTAAGCACCGGTGAGGAGTGTCCTGTGGCTTCATGTGGGAGATGGTTGTGTGTGAAGCCATTTATTGGGTTGGTCAAGAATAAAGATAGTGTCAGAGAACAGGAAGCCAAAATTTAAGGGTCATATATGTTTTTGTGTTTGGTGAACAACCGTATTGATGACATGCTTTATGGTTCCCTTTCTTTCTTTTTTGTTCTTTGACCGGTTATCATCTTCAATCTCTATATATACAAGACTACTTTGTATTTTGTAAGTGTGAGACACAAAAGAAATAAAACTCCTAGTTACCTGTGTGTGGATGTAGGTCGTGAGACTAAACCACCTTAAATTCTTGAGTTCCTCTTTGTTACAACTTAAGGAGAGTTATGTTCGTATGTTAACTGTCTGACCATAACAAGACTAATGCTTGTTCAAAACGATCTGATTAAGTTTTAAGACACGTTTAAGATTGCACTGGTCAAGGTATAGAGTTGAGGGCAATCCAGTGCACTAGATTGCATTGGTCAAGTTCTAAGAGGTGGGTGCAATGGTAAACAAGTATAAAATATGTCGAAATGAAGGTTTTTCAGAACTTTGTATGCATCATGTGGGTGGACTATGGACGTGGGTTGAATTCCCCAAATAGTAAAGCATGTATGGCATTTAAACAAACCACTAATTTGAAAAACATGTTTGCAACTGTAAAACCAGTTACGAAGAGTTTTATTGTCCATGTGAGGATGATTTGGATTGAGAATGATAGATTACCCTTATATGTATGGGATTATGGTCCTCTTAGAAAGGTTATCAGTGCGTTTGGAAGGTTCATGTTCTTTGAAGACGATCACAGCGCAACAATATGTGGTGTGCGGTTATATATCTGCATTAAATCAAACTTTTTATCTTAGAAATGGTGGCGTTCTCTATAGAAGCATGAGGTTAATAAATGACAGGGATTTGATGATGATCATCTTCTTAATGAACATGAACAAGTACCTCTAGTAAAAAATGAGGTAAAGTCATCTTGTTTCCATAAGCAATGTGACGAGAATGAGGAGTTGCAACAGAAAGGTTGGGTAAAAGAAGTTTGTTAACTTGATGGGAAATTAACAGATGCGGAGAGCAGCCCAAAATAATAATAAAAAAAAAACAGCTTTAGATGCAGCTCAACACAACGAAAAACCAAATGTCCTTCAAGAAACCTCAACTAATTCAAGTTGCACACCATGTTTTGATCATTTGAAATGGGATCGAAAGAGGAAAGGATTCAAATGTAAAACAAAAGGTGGAAGGAAGAAGGAAACTAACCATAGTAAGTGTTATACGTCATTTGAGAAATTTAATAAGAAAGATAGGTGTGGATCTACACTGTTGCATGGTATCCAACGTTTGATCGAGGTGGGTGGTGCCATGGGACATGATGTTAGAGGTTGTCAAAAACTACTTAAAATGATGTTTAGAGAAGCGGGGGAGACTGTGGGTGATCGATGAATATTATCTCCTTGAATATCTGAGGAACTGGGAAGAGGAAGAAAAGGTCTTGGGTAAAGGAATTGTGTCTCAAATACGGAGTACAATTCCTTGGAATCCACGAGACAAAGATGACAAGACTTGATGTTGTTAGGTTGAAGTCAATGTGGGGTAACTATAGTTTCGATTAGCACGTCTAGAGGTCAGTCATTGGGTATTGTTTCTCTTCAGGACCTGTCAAAGAAAACATTTAGTGTATGGAAAATTACGACATTGTCAGGGATTGTACCATGTTTTTTTAATTAATATCTATGGTCCATAAGAGTCCACGGCTAAAAGGCGTTTATGGAATGAAATTGAGAATTTTATTAAGATGCATCAGGAGCATTATGTAGTTTTTGGTGACTTTAATGAGGTCCAACAAGAGGAAGAGGGATTCGGTTCTACCTTTTCTAAATATGATGTGGAAAACTTTAATAATTTTATTAACATGGCTGATTTAGTAGAACTTCAAATGGGAGTCAGAAATTTTACATGTAAGATGGGCTCCAAGATGAGCAAATTAGATAGATTTGCCAAGATGACTCGTTATCTTCGTTCCTTTTTATTCTCCGTGATGGAAGGTCTCAACGTTTCATTAAAAGAAGCACCAGATAGGTTGATAGAAGGGGAAGGAATCGGTAATCAGATTTTGATGTTTTAAATGACTTTGACTTAGCTTCTAAGCTGAAGTTAAGCATCGATAAATCGAATATATATGTTATTGGTGTTGAGGCCAAAGAGTTGAAGAGTATGGCCAAATCAACTGGTTTGTACCGGGGATGTTACCTTTTAAATACCTTGGCCTTCCTATTGGTTCAATCATGGTCCTTTAAGCGAATTGGAGCATGGTTGTAGATCGGTTTAAAGAAAATTTGTCAACTTGAAAGTCTAATCTACTCTCTAGTGGAGGTCGATTAATGCTAATCAAAGATGTATTGGGAAGTCTCCGGATTGTACATATTTAGTGCTATTCAAAAACAAACTTAATTATTCAAATAACATCTTTCAAAAAATACATATTCCTTACACATTGTTTCACCAATAATATTTATAAATCCTACAAATAACTCTCCGAATCATTTATCTTCCAAAATAATATTTAGTTAAACAAATACGAATTTTACGATGTTGAATATGCTAACATAAATTACGTATACGTTGTTGATTATTACAGGAAATAGAACGTGAAAAAGCTGCACGTTTGGAACTAGAAAAAACACCCCGTCTTCAAGTTCCGACTTCCATAACCAACACCAAATCTATCCCCGAGAATGGTGAGAGTATCTCTCATATATATTCTCTGATATATTATTTCCTTTTTGTGTTCCTTAATATACTGAGACTTGATATACAGGGTTGACTCGTAGACTTTCAAGTGCTAGTAGTTTAAGTAGCATGGAGGAGAGTTTGTTTCTACAAGCATCTTTGGACTCATCTTATACTTTCTCTGAAAGAAGTCCAAGGGAGCCTACTAAAACTCCTTTTTATTTCAAGAGCATGAGTACCCCAAATGTTTTCCATGCTGCTCTACGCCAAAAGGAGGGTGAACTCCAATCTTACATGTCTAGATTGGTAAGCAAGAGGTGTTTTTTTTTTTTCTTCCATGGAATAAAAAATTGTAATTTAACCCCTTTTTATTCATAAAAACTTTAATGATCTCGATCTTTTAAGAGTTTCATAATTAATTTAAACTATAGCTTTATTTTCTGAAAATAACTAGAAATTATTTTTTTAGTTTTGTAAATAATAATTTTTAAAGTATAAGTATTTAGAATAATGTCAAAACTATACCTTTAATTGTTTTATATATAATATAGAAAATTCATGTGAAAGTTCATTCCATTTCTACAGCCCAACCAAATATATGGTCATGTAATGTAATACATTACATGACTACATTACATTCCATCCAACCAAATAGACCCTAAATTTAAAGTTTTATTACCCTTTTTTGTATTCTCCTATCCGGTATGTACTATATCATCACCTTCAAGGTCTATGTGTCAATTCCATTCCATTCATTTTAGGTATCCATGGAATCTATTCGTGACTCTCTTAGTGAGGAATTGGTTAAAATGACCAAGGAGGTATGCTTTCTCTTATTTCCCCTCATAACAAAGAAGAAAAAAAGAAAAAAAGTCACAATCCATTTCTTATCTGGGGTATTATTTTTTTATCTAGTGTGAAAAACTAAGGTCAGAAGTGGCTCTGCTTCCTAGCATTAAGGCCGAGCTAGAAGCGCTAAGAATCAGGCACTCTGCTGCACTAGAGTTAATGGGCGAACGAGATGAAGAGGTACAAACACTTGCAATAAGTATCAACTTAAGTATTTAACATATTTATTTTACTAATTATACTTGAAAAAAATATTAAAATGACCTTTTGTTTTGTGTAGCTTGAAGAACTTCGTGCTGATATTGTGGATGTGAAGGAAATGTACAGAGAACAAGTTAACATGCTTGTAAATAAGGTATGATTTATATCTACAAAAAGGGTAATATACTAATCTACATGAAACAATTAAATCTTACTTATTTGTTTGAATGAACATCCCTGCAGATACAGAAGGTTGAATCAAATCCTTTTGCCTAAGGACAATGTGTAAGTGAATACATGTTTGTTTTTTGTACAATTTATTTTTTATATATATCTTTGGTGTAATCTTATTTATTCAAAGGAAAGGTTATTTGATCAAAATTGGTGCTAGGTGAGTGGACCCGAAATATATACACCAAAAATTTGTATATATATTAACACAAAAAAAGAGTGCAAAAGCTTTGAATTGGAGTTCTAACAAACTTGTCTCGTTATATGCTTTTAAGTTCATATTTATACCAATGTTATAAAATTCTACTCGATTGGGTATGAATCATGTTTGAGCTCAACTTATATGATAAATGTTTCATTCGTTTGCTATCTTAATCTTCATTAGGTATTATATATATATAAAAACCAAATTCTCATTTGTGAGTTATATATATATATATATATATATATATATATATATATATATATATATATATATATATATATATATATATATATATATATATATATATATATATATATATATACTATAGCTAAAAGTATATGACTATGCATAATGTACAAGTTTTTAGTGCGGGAAGTTCAAGTTTAATCCCTCAATCTTATATAATCCTTCACTTCCAACCCTACTTTGTATAATATTTTATATAATACGTTACTTGCACCCCTTTATTATATTTTTGAACCCTTTACTTTTTTTTTAAATCACTTTCACCATCTTCACATTCAACTTTATAAAATGTCACTTTCACTCCTTAGTTTTCTAAACTTTTTTGTTTATCCGCATCCTCGTAAAATATCACATTCGCCTTCTCTACCTTCAACTCTATAAAATATCACTTTTACCTCTTTATTTTCTAAACTTTTGTGTTTATCTTTGTTCCCGTAAAATTCAGTGTAGCTAATAATACAAGTGGCAACTCCTATATTCTGTATAATGATATTAATCATCTCTTTATTTTTTAAAATATCATTTTCACCCCCTTCACTTTCAACTTTGAAAATGTAACTTTCACCCCTTCATTTTCTATAGTTTTGAGCTAATAGTACAAATGGTAATGCCCAATCTACAAACATATCAATGTATACAGTGCAACTTTCCTTCAATTTTGTATAATTTGTCACTTTTAACCCATCTATTTTGTAAAATGATATTGTTCATTCATTTACTTTTTTAAAATATCACTTTCACCCGCTCCGCCTTCAACTTTGTAAAATATCACTTTCACCACTTCATTTTCTAAACTTTCGTGCTTATTTCTCTCATCTACTTTGTAAAATGCTTTTTTCATCCCACTCTTTTTTAGAATGTTACTTTCACCTTGTCAACAGAAAAAATCATTATAGCTAATATTGTAATTGTTAATGTATAATGTACAAGTATTTCAATGTGAAAAGTGCAATTTTAATCCCTCAACTTGATGTAATCCGTTATTTGCAACCCCTTTATCTGTAAAATAATATTTTGCATCCCTTTATTTTTTAAAATATCACTTTCACCCCTCTACCATCAACTTTGTAAAATGTCACTTTCACCCTTTCATTTTTCATCCTCAACTTTATATAATCTGTGACCCGTAACTCCTTTATTTTGTAAAATGATATCTTCGCTCTTCTACTTTCCTAATACCTAACAAAAACACGTAAAACCCGCAGCAAAGCGTGGGCTCAATTACTAGATGTATAGACATTAGTTAACTTTTTTTTATTTATGAAGAATTAAATGTTTATAAAGTATATGACAAAATAAGATGGTGAAATTGATTTGGAATAACTAAACAAAAAAATGTAACTAGAATCAAAGTTAATAATTTAAAGTGATAAATCTAGGAATCAAAATTAGAGAGATTTCAACTTAGTAATCATGTCTTAGATTTTAAAGTTCTAATTGGGAGATAATGAACATCGTTCTTTAACCAATGAATTAGAGATGTTAGTGATGTGTTAATTTAGTGTTAAAAACGTATTTGAATGTTAGTAATAATCCACAACTATTAGGATTTAAAGGGAGTTAGGATTGATTTGGATGAGTTTTGGAAGCTAAATGGAAGAAAAAACTCAAAGTGGTGAGGTAAGGAAGTTCCACCGACCGAGTATGACTTTACTTTGCACACATGATTTTTTTATCCAATCCACTTTGGTTGCTTCCATTACCTTTTATAAGCTTATAAATTATAGAAAATAAGTATTTTAGGTTTTTATACTTTGGTTTAAGTATCTAAAAAGTAATTTGTAATTAATCATTCGATTTATTTGATCACTAGACATTCCATCATCACTAAGTGAAGTAGTGCATATAAAAAATTTAACATTGGCTCATTACAAAGAATACATGCATATACTATATTTTGCACTTTGATTCTTCCTAGTTTTAACTACTATGTGCATTTATTAGATGAAATATATAAATATTATTAGGTGCAGTCATGAATTGATTTTCATAATATGTTTTGGATATGGAAACAAATCTATTGATTTTGAAATTGATTGCAATCACAATGATATGCATCCACATTGGATGGGTTGAGACTTGTCTATGGTCTGAAAACTTGAAATTGACTTAGATATCCAAATGAGAATGTTACAAATGTTATGAATGATTGTGAATGGTTTCTAAGAAAATCATCACATACGAAAGTTGCAAAAGTGTGAATGTTGCAAATGTTATGAATGGTTGTGTATGGAATCCATCACCCGTTGTTATTGCTAGTGTGTATTCTGTTATGTTATGATGACATTTTGTAATTATTTTAATGCTCATGTTGACTGGTATGTTTGTTGGATTAGTGTCTAAGCCCGTAACCATATTTGGTAAGTACTTGACCCGATTGTGCATGGTCCTTTTGGGTTGCCTTCACCAAAACAACTTGATTGGAGAAATAATAGAGAAAGAGGTTATTATGTTTTATTAATATATTATAGGAATAATATATTAATAGGAGAAATCATATTTGTTTAATTAATATTGGTCAATAATTGATTAACAATTAATTTTGTGATCAAATGTAATTAATTAAACTGCAGGGGCTGAATTGTAATTATGTGATAGTTGCAAATTAGGGCAATGGATGCCCTATGGGAGAGGTGGATGAATTCAAGGGGATAAGGTCCTTGAAATCGTCCAAGGATAGGGCTTTCAAGGCTTATCTTATGGTTACTTGGTGGGCAAGCAACTAGATAAGGATTGAAACCCTAATTTATACCCTATATAAAGACCCCTAAGCCTAAGGAAATCGACCACTTGTTCCCTAGGGTTCCTAGAGCCGATTTCTAACCTCTCTCCCCACTCTCTCTCTCTTGCCTCTCCAATTGTTTGTGGTGTTTGTGAGTCATTAGAGGTACTACACTTGTGGTACATGCTTTCAAGACTAAGTGATTGAAGATTAGTGTTGTTATTGCAATATAACAACAATAGGTATGTGATCTACTCTCTTATATAAATTTCGAAATATATGCCTGCTAGCTAGGGTTCTTAGTGTGTTCATAAAGTTGTGTATCTAATAGAGAAAACATATATCCAAATCTAGGGTTGCATGCACACATAGGATTGTTTCTACAAAACCCATCAGTGGTATCAAAGCCTTTGGTTGAATTGTTTTCAATTAGTATTATACAATTGTATGAATTTGACACTTAAGGGTTTATGGCTAATAAACCCTAGGAGGCTAGGATTTCGATTTTAGGGTTCTTGAACCCTTGTGTTCGAATTTTTGAAGGGTTTTTCAAACCCTTTCCTTGTTGCCCAAGATTTCGAGATCTAGGATTTGCAAACCCTAGATTTTCGAGATTTGCCTCCTCCCCAAGATAAGTCCCTAAAATCTAGAGATTTGGATAATCCCAGATCTTGTAATTATCTTTTAATTGTTAAATATGGTAATTAAAGATTTTGAATTATCCCCTCCCTAATTTTCGAAATTTAGAGGGATATAAGGGATTAGGATAAATTTAATTGTTTAATTTATAATAATCCTTTATGATTTAGTAATTAAAATTAATTGTTTAATTTAGATAATTATTAAATCAAGAATTTTAATATTTAAAATTTTAATTTAAAGGTTATAAATTTAGAAAAATTTTAAATTGAGATTAAAACTCTAGTATTTTTAAAATGTTTAAAATATACCCTATACTATTATATTATTACAAGATTAATATATATATATATATATATATATATATATATATATATATATATATATATATATATATATATATATACACGTATAACTAAAATGCTAGTCTTACCATTAGTAGGCCTCATTCACGAAGCCGATCTATAAGGGGGTATAAGGTTATGGCCTATAAAATGGCCGTTTAATGGGTATCCACTCTTACCCACCGCTTCCTTGATTGGTGGAGGGTCGTTAGCCGAACGGGTAGGATAGGGCAATCCTTTCATCATTAATAAGTATAATGAAAATATATAAAGTAACTAAATGTTTTTACAAAATTCTCAATCCTAGTTACTTTAGGCAAAAGTGAATTGATGCAATCCCATGAAATTACACTTTGCACCCTTGCTAAGAAGTTAGTGGAGCGTGTGTGGTTAACCGGTACACTAATTGGTTCTAAGTAAAGGTGGCAAAGGGTAACTCATTGTTTGTCATAGTTCGATGGAGCGTGTGTGGTTAACCGGCACATCGAATAGGTGACTGTAACAATGAGGGAACCATGTATATTTGCATGGTTATTCACACCCGCTTTGTGATCATCGGCATCCCAGTGACAAACAAGAGGGGCATATTGAGATTTAAACATGGCATTGAAAAGTTCAATGAATCTCAAGAAATCTAGGAATTCTCAATACATTTAAAACCTAAGCCTTATGTTTTTCATGGTGAAGAATTAGTGAATCGTCATTCACTTACCTCCAAATTATTTGCATGTTGGATTACGACTTCCCTTTTCTAATGTGTAAATAATGTTGTTGGATCCTAGCCCTAATTTCTCATTTTGGGTGTTTAATTAGGGATTCAATTTTATTCAAACTTTTTCCTTTCTATTTGCAGATGTCTAACGCAAACGCAAACAACACTGTTGTTGGT